AAAATCAGCCAATAACATCTACTGTATCCAACTTCTAATTTATCGTGCATAAAATGGTGTATTTTGATGTTATTTTGCTACATCTTTAGAAACAACTAATTCGATAACCAAAACTTACTGGAAGGAGATTGTGACAAGCAAAGGACCATCTAGAGTTCTGAACCTCAACTGACAGTTTAAGTTGGAGACGTATTTTCCGTCTTCACCCACGGGACTCCGCACTCGGACATTGCTCCAAGGGAAAAGGTCAACCACGCTCGTGTTGCAAAAACTGTGAACGGGTTCTGAGGGGGGTCGGAAGGTACGTGGTCTTTCAGAGGGGGGTCCTTCAGAGGTCTAAAACCAATGATAAAATAAGATTTTGATATTGCGGCCATTTAACATAACATAAGGACTTGTCTCTTCAGTTGTAAATAAGGTAAATAAAGTAAACTAAAGTAAGTGAATAAAGTAAACTAAAGTATATAAATACAATAAAGTAAAGAAACTAAATGAAGTAAATCAAGTAATGTAAATAATGTAAATAAAGTAAATAAGTAAATACAGTAAAAAAGAAAGTAAATACCAATAGACCATCAACACCAATGCATGTACTGGTCAAACAGACGTGCAACAGGTGACGTCAGACGTGCAACAAATGGTCAATAGATGACGTCAGTCTACAATGCCAGACTGTTACCCCCGGTCTCTGGGTCAGTGTTTATATAGCCAGTGGTCGCTGACTGGACTGGACGTGTTCACACGACGCCACACACACACACACACTCACAGACACACTCACAGACACACACCACACACTCACAGACACACACTCATAAGTAAAAACGACTAGAAATGTATACATACTGGAAGAAAATCCTCGAGTCCAAGACAGAGAGCAGGAACCATCAGTACCAGGGTTAGGGTGAGCAGCATTGTTCAATACTTGGTGACGTCAGACTTGTAAGATGTGACGTCAGACTTGACACAGGTGACGTCAGACTTGTAAGATGTGACGTCAGACTTGACACAGGTGACGTCAGACTTGCAACTTACAGCCAACAGATGAAATCAAATCCTACACAGTGTACCAGACTGTTACCCCCGGGCCCTGGGCCAGTGTTTATATAGCCAGTGGTCGCTGACTGGACCGGACTTGTTCCCACGACACCTGGGTCCCACGGTCACGTGACGCCAAGATTTATTCACCTCAGAGTGCCAGACTTATGTCAGCATAGCCTCCAACCCAATGGACAACAAATTGTTTAGATATCCTTACAATGGACAACAAGCACGATAAACAGCGTACGCGTTTTGTTAAAGGTGAGTTACGATTATCTAGGGCCTAATGTAGTGGCTACCTGATCGCTTCGAGGGAGGTGATATAAACAAAGGCGTTTTGACAATGTGCCACATAAATATCTTTTAGATGGGAGGAAAGTGGCATTGTACCGGCTCCCATTAGGTCAGGTTGTACCGGCTCCCATTAGGTCAGGTTCTACCAGCTACAGTGTCGGTCTACGACCTCACAAAATATAAAAGGAAGGGGGGGTGGAGGGTCGTTCGGCGAAAGTTTTATTTTCGTAATATAGCTCATATAAGACGCCAGTCAGTCGAGGTTTATATATATATATAAATGTGCATTTACGCATGTGTATATGTATTCACATATATTTATTTTTTATGTATTTATTTTTTTACCTCATCCCCCACCTCCCCCATACTTTGATTAACATATAAGTTATTACGATTCTCAACCAAACCGTTTACCTCTGCCATATTTTGCAACGTTGTGTTAATGTAACTTCCCCCACTCACCCCCCTCCACCCCCACGGCGATTGCTTTAAACTGTGCTCAGATAATACTAACGATTTGTAGCTATAATCGGTTATAAATACAGCTTAATGTAGCATGATTTCTCTATCATCATCAGCTTTATGTACACCCTTGACGGGATTTGTCAAATTTGCTTTTAAAAGACTATTCAATATTAATTAATCACTTAATTAAGTGGAATTATCATTTTTCTGTATATATATTGCTATTTTTTTTGGCTTGGTGCCACCCCCCTAAAAGGTGTCACACGGTGCGGTCCGCCCCCCCTCCCCCCCACACCTCTGTACCTACCAACGTCAGCGCATATCTAGTTATTCACAAATTCTTGTTTGTTAATTTTTTTCTTAAGTCGTAGTAATTACAGCGCCTTTTTACCTAGGGTGAACAGGTGCGGTAGAGTTCACCTGTTCTGAATGAAACATAGCATGACATACATGACCTTCCTTCCCTTACTGGAGCCAGGTACCCATCAGAGCTGAGTGAACTCAGAGCTATCTTAAGAATTCGAACATGGGACAAATCGTCGACTTACGTTTAGCAATTGTGTGCTAGAAATTGACAACGCCCCCATCTCTATTGTTATCGTGTAACAAAATTTGCTATTGGCTGTGAAACAAATATTAATGGGAGAAGATACTTTACTTGGGCCAGTTCCAAAAATTAAGAGGGCTAAAAATAGCAGTGACAGAATACATTTCGCTCCCCTTTAAAAAAAATACCATGTGTTAATACACACTTCATGTGTGGTGTGTAGCAAGTTCAGATTAGTTAACCTGGGCCGGATGAAGTAGAGTTACCCAGATGGTGCAGTCAGTACTGTCCCCTGCCACAATGACTTTTTAAAGTTGGAAAATATAAAAGGTAGGAAGCGTTGGGCGAAATTTGATGTTAAAATTAATCAAGTGAGAGCCGTACAACACGGCTATATGGGAGCCGGTACAATCTGGCTAGGGGACGGAGTGACCTAGCGGTAGAGAGCTGGACTGCTAACCCGTAAGTCTCGAGTTCGAATCCGGATTCAAGTCAGTAGACCGTCCCTGAGTCCACCCATCTCTGATGGGTACCTAACTCACGTTAGAGAAAGTAAAGGCGGCTGGGCATAGTGCTGACCACACTATCTCTTCATATGCCGAGGTCACCCATCAGATATGAAAAGATAGTCTTCATATGCCGAGGTCACAGAAACAGGTGAACTCTACTTCACTTGCCCGTCAGGCTTAAAAAGGGAACTTGACTACAATCTGGCTAAATGTGAGCCGGTACAATCTGGCTAAATTGGAGCCGGTACAATCTGGCTAAATGTGAGCCGGTACAATCTGGCAAACTGGGAGCCGGTACAATCTGGCTAAATGGGAGCTTACACATTTAACCGGCGAACATAACACTTGTTTTAAAAAATTGACAAGAAAATAAATTTGAAGAATAATTTGTTACAGGAAATTCTGATTAATACTTTATTTTTAAAAAATTGTATAAGTTGGTAATCTTTGATGTGATAGAGGCTGTTTAAAGCTGTTGTCTTGTAGATGTGTAAAGCTCTTGTAGATAGGTTAAAGCTCTTGTAGATTGGTTAAAGCTCTTGTAGATTGGTTAAAGCTGTTGTAGGTTGGTTAGAGCTGTTGTAGGTTGTTTAAAGCTGTTGTAGGTTGGTTAAAGCTGTTGTAGGCTGTTTAAAGTTGTTGTAGGTTGGTTAAAGCTGTTGTTACAGGAAATTCTGATTAATATTTTATTTTTAAAAAAATTGAATAAGTTGGTAATCGTTGATGTGATGAAGGTTGTTTGAAGCTGTTCTCTTGTAGGTTGGTATAAGCTGTTGTAGGTTGGTTAAAGCTGTTGTAGGTTGGTTAAAGCTGTTGTAGGCTGGTTAAAGCTGTTGCAGTTTGTTTAAAGCTGTTGTCTTGTAGGCCGGTTAAAGCTGTTGGTCTTGTAGGCTATTTAAAGCTGTTGTATTGTATGCTGGTTAAAGCTGTTGTAGGCTAGTTAAAGCTGTTGAAGGCTGTTACATCCTGTTGCAGGCTGTTACATCCTGTTGCAGGCTGTTACATCCTGTTGTGTTGCAGGAACAGCTGAAGCAGGGAGAGCACGTGGTCACGGTTGAACTGTTCCTGTTGAAGGTACTGGACAGCTTCCATCACAGCGTAGATGGAGTAGGGGTTGCGGGGGTTGTTGGGGTTGTTGGGGTTGTTGGGGTTGTATGGGTTGCATGGATGGGTTGCACATGGATGGCCGTAACACGGGTTGCTGGTGGTGGGGTACCAAGAACTAGTGGTGGGGTACGAGGGGCTGGTGGAGGTGGGGTTCCACGGGTTGCTGGTGGTGGTGGCGCCCTGTAACAATGGGTTGGGCGTGGTCACGCACCCGTCTGTGTAGACTGACCCCAGGGTCACATTGGCGAAATTTTTGCTTGAGCTATTATTGACCACGCCCGTGGGAGTGCTCACAATCCCGCCAGTGTACATCCTGGCTTGCAGAGACAGCTGGAGACAAAAGATAGCCAGAGTCACACAACAATTAAAGCTGTTGGGATGTTGGAATGTCGAGTATTATATCACTACATTGGTTTTAGAGTCATGGCTAGAATAAGTGGTAGGTGTGGTTCAGGTTTAAGATTACGATATTAAGTAAAACAGAACTATAAAAAAATGTAGATTTTGTTAGAAACGGCCCAAACATCTGAGTAGTTTTTACGTTTCTGTTTCATAGAGTGATGTTCCTTGCCACTTGACTCAAATATTGTGGCCAGCGAGTCAGGTAGTTTCTGCAGTATCGGTACAATCTGGTACCATCTGGTACTATCTGGTACCATCTGGTACCATCTGGTACTATCTGGTACCATCTGGTACCATCTGGTACCATATCGATGGGACGGCGTGGCCTAGCAGTAGAGTTGTAGACTAGTAACCCGAAAATTTTTGAATTCGATTCCGGATTCAAGTCGGTTCGTTTATCTGAAATTATGTAATCGAGTATGTAGAACGTTGTAATAAAAAATCACCTGAAACCCGCGCCTAGTGACGCTACCGTCCGTGACGAAGGTCAAGGTAAAGTTTTCATATTCTGGCACCAGGAACTGGTACTCTTGGTCCTTGGGACTGGTACCACAGAACTTCACGCCATTGATGCACAGGAAGTCGTAACGACAGACGTAACCCTGTTCCAAGTCAAAATCTCTGCAAAAATCAGTAAGACGATAACATCAACAGCAACAGAAAGTCGATGGCGCATGTAAGCTATTATGTATAGTATGGTGTAGGAAGATGTTGATTATGCAACATCTTTAAAGATTTAGTTTAAAAACGCAATCAACAAATTCGATAACCAAAACTCACTGGAAGGAGATTGTGACCAGCAATGGACCATCTAGAGTTCTGAACCTCAACTGACAACTCAAGTTGTCGACGTAGTTGCCGTCTTCACCCACGGGACTCCGCACTCGGACATCGCTCCAAGGGAAAAGGTAAACCTTGCTCGTGTTACAAAAACTGTGATCAGGTTCTGAGGGGGGTTCTTCAGTGGTCTGTAACTAATTATAAAATATGATGTTGTTATTGCGGGAATATAAAATAACATAAAGAGAAGTCTTTTAAGTTGTAAAAAAGGAAAATAAAGGAAATAAATAAAGTAAACTAAAGTAAATAGATAAATTAAACTAAAGTAAATAGATAAAGTAAATAAAGTAAATAGATAAAGTAAACTAAAGTAAATAGATAAAGTAAATAAAGTAAATAGATAAAGTAAATAAAGTAAATAGATAAAGTAAATAAAGTAAATAGATAAAGTAAACTAAAGTAAATGGATAAAGTAAACTAAAGTAAATAGATAAAGTAAATAAAGTAAATAGATAAAGTAAACTTAAGTAAATAGATAAAGTAAATAAAGTAAATAGATAAAGTAAACTAAAGTAAATAGATAAAGTAAACTAAAGTAAATAGATAAAGTAAACTAAAGTAAATAGATAAAGTAAATAAAGTAAATAGATAAAGTAAATAAAGTAAATAAAGTAAATAGATAAAGTAAATAAAGTAAATAGATAAAGTAAATAAAGTAAATAGATAAAGTAAACTAAAGTAAATAGATAAAGTAAATAAAGTAAATAGATAAAGTAAACTAAAGTAAATAGATAAAGTAAATAAAGTAAATAGATAAAGTAAACTAAAGTAAATAGATAAAGTAAATAAAGTAAATAGATAAAGTAAACTAAAGTAAATAGTTTAAGTAAACTAAAGTAAATAGATGGAGTAAATAAAGTAAATAGATAAAGTAAACTAAAGTAAATAGATAAAGTAAACTAAAGTAAATAGATTAAGTAAATAAAGTAAATAGATAAAGTAAACTAAAGTAAATAGATAAAGTAAATAAAGTAAATAGATAAAGTAAACTAAACTAAATAGATAAAGTA